AAAAAAAAAAAAAAAAAAAGGTCAAAATCAGGATATTTGTTGAGAGAAAGAATCAGACGTAGAATACCAGAGGCTTGGGCAGACCAGTTCAAGGGCAGCAGTGCAGGAAGGGAGATTATGCCAGGAGGAACTGGGATTCACTTCCCTGGGCCCAGGCCTTGTCTGTGCACCAGGCCAGGTTGAGCCCCTTCCTTCCTGCCCCTGGAGCCCCGGAGAGAGACGGAAACAGGTGGCTGACTCAGGAAAACTTTCACTCAACGCAAACTAAAACAAAAGAACTCTCCCAACTTAATGAGAAAATTAGGATCTGTAGGCCACCTGCCATGGCCATGGCTTCAAGGAAGATGCCCGGGAGCCTGGAGCCTGGGTGCTCGATCACTCTGTCTGCTCTGGCTCTCCGTGACATCGGTGTCCTCATCTGTTAAATGGGCACATTTATAGCCTACACAGGACCCTACAGTATCTCATGGATGACGTGGCCTGTGTGGGTGTGTGGCTGTATCTGCCTAATTGATCCCTGTTTTGTCTTATTTCCTGGTCATCTCCACTCAGAGGAGCCCGGAATGTTCTCACTGGTTATATAGCTTCACTCTTACTGTTAACATTGTTCCAAAGCCCCCAACCCTCTGAGACACAGGAATTTGCACAGAGAAGACCAGCTCCTCTCTGGGGAAATAGTGGAGAGACTCACTCTGTGGGCTGCCCCCACGAGCCTTTGCCCAGCAGTGTCCCCCAGCCTCTGCTCCTGTCCGATGCAGTCTCCTGGCAGCTGTTTAGTGAGCACCTACTGTGTGCAGGCAGTGTGCTAAGCCCCGGTGACATGCATGGAACAAGAAGCTCTCCTATGAGTGGGCAGAGACAGACCACAAACAAGGAAGGAGACAAGTCAGCTAGACAGTCTACGTGGTGGCGAGTGCTCTGAGAAATGCATATCAGGGCCCAGTGCAGTGAGGCACACCTGTAATCCCAGCAGTCCAGGAGACCAGGGCCCATGGATCGCCTGAGCGCACAGGTTTGAGACCAGCCTGAGCCAGAGCGAGACCTTATCTCTAAAAAATAGCTGGGTGTTGTGATGGGCACCTGTAGTCCCAGCTACTTGGGAAGCTGAAGCAAGAGAATCCGAGAATCCCTTGAGCCCAAGAGTTTGAGGTTGCTGTGAACTGTGATACCATGGCACTCTACCCAGGGCAACAGCTTGAAACTCTGTCTCAAAAAAGAAAGAAAGAAAGAAATACACATCAGGATGACACAGGGGAAACCTGGCTGCAGGCAGGGAGGGCATCAGAGGGGATGGTCAAGAAAGGCCTCTCTGAGGAGGTGACATGGAGGCCAAGACCCGAATTATAAGGAGGAACCAGTGGGGAGAAGATTAGGGGAACAGCGTCTGAGGCGGAGGGCACAGCTGGTACAAGCTCTGTTCTTGAAACAGATGAAGCCAGGCCTGGGACAGCGGCTCACACTGTGACCTAGTACTTTGGCCAGTAGTTTGAGACCAGCCTGCGCAATATAGTGAGATCCTGTCTCTACAAGAAAATGAAGAAACCGGCCAGGCCTAATGGTACACACACGCCTGCAGTCCCAGCTACTCAGGAGGCTGAGGCGGGAGGATCACTTGACTGCACCTTAGCCTGGGCAACAGAGCAGACCCTGTCTCTAAAAAAAAGGAAAGAGAAATAGAGAGAAAGAAAGGAGGAAAGACAGAAAGGAGGCCAGTGTGTATGGCGCTGGACAGAAGGAAAGCATCGTTTAGCTGACTACTGACCTTGAGAAATCCCAGGGCCCAGCACCAGCTTTGCCAGACTCGAAGTTGGGGCCGCTGTGTGGAGACCTGGCTGGGGAATAGCGGGTGGTATTCTGGGGAGCCCCTGCACTAGTAGGAGTGTGACAGTGGATGCTTGGCCTGGAGGAGTGGGGTGCCGGGAGGTGTAGACAGGGGTCAGAGTCAGAGTAGGTTTTTCCATAGCTGCTGATGAGACCCAGTGACAGGCTGAAGGGGGCCCAGGAATCACTGGGTTGGGTCTGTGCCATTGGCCTTCCCCAGGGAACACATTCAAGAGGTCATGGGCATACTCAGTCTGGGTGAGGTTGGTGAAGAGTAAGGGTGAAGCTGCCACCCCCATCCCTCCTCCAGCTGTCATACCCAGAAATGCCTGGCCCATCAGGGAGGGAGGCTTTGTCCCAGGGAAATGACATTTAGGGCCATGTGTCCAGAGTGAGAAGACAATGAACCTCTGAGACTCACTTCTTTGTGGGGTGCCTGACCCAGCCTCCCTCTGCCCACTGGGAGGGGCCAGCCTGCAGGGAGACCCCCATGACATTTCCCCTGTAACAGAAAGAAGCCCACACTAGAGTGAGGCCGGAGAGGCACCTACCTTGGTGTAACACTTAAGGGGACACCAAGAAAAGGTACCAAGATTAAATAACATTTTAATGCAGCATATTAAAATCAAAACGAATGCAAATCTGAATATGGATGTTAGTTAATAATAGTGTGTCAATATCAGTTCATTAATTGTGACAGATGAACTGTGCTCAGGTAAGATGCTGACTACAGGGGCAACTGGGAGCTAGGACATGTGGGGATCTCTCTGCATTATCACCTCAATTTCCCCGTAAACCTAAAATTGGATGTCTATTGAGAAATTAATGTCTACAATCGCCATCTAAATCTCAGATAGAGACAGTCGCACATCCCTGAGAGTGAGGGCCTGGGCGCCCGGCCCCAAGAGTAGGTAGTCCTTGCTTGTTACAGAATTCCTGAGAGAGAAAGAGTCAAGAAGAAAGCACAGAACCGGGGCCCACCTCCCAGAAATGACAACTGCAGGCTTTTGAGACTCTTCTTTTTAATTTTTTTCATTGCACAAATCTAGTCCCTGGACATCAGTTTTCCCTCCAGGAAATTAATATCTGTTGATCATCCCTATAGAATTGCCTCTCTCTGTGTATATACATTTGCATTTTGCTTTTGACCACTTCATGTTGCAGCATAAATGATTTTATGTCATTAAATACCTTACAAAAATAGCATTTTCAGGGGCCATCTAAATCTTTTGTGCCACCACGTAGCCCATGGTCTGTGCTGACCTGGCAGACTCACCAGCACTCTTCACCCCCTGCCTGCATTACAGCTTCTCTGGACTCCACTTCCCCAGGCCCCAGCCCAGCCTGTTCAGTCTCTGCAGGGGACCAAACATGGGCTCCACTGTAAAAGGGCTATAGGCTCAAAATCTACCCCGTACCAAGCAGGTCACATCACCTCCCCATGCCTCAGTTAGTCACCTGTGAAACAGGGGTGCTAAGCCTCCCTCAGCAGCTTAGTAGGACATTGGTAGCACTACTGAATTAGGGACCCAGTTATTACAGACTGGTGGCAGAAGGAAGTCCTGTCCCTTCTTGGGCTTGAAACTTGGGACAAGAGCAGGGTCCAAGGCTCGGGGTGGAGGGATGTTCCATCTAATGCCTGTTGCTCAGTGAGGAGAGTGAGGCCGAGGGAGGGTCAGTGACTTCCTTAGGTGAGGAAGTGGCAGCTCCAGAGCCCAAGCTGTGGCATGGCCACCCCATGAATCCTAAACCTGGCCACAGGGTTCTGCTGTCACATATAGACTTTGCTGTGTCACCCTGCATAGAGTGCAGTGGTGTCAATGCAGCTCACTGCAACCTCACACACCAGGGTGAGATCAGTCCTCCTGCCTCAGCCTCCCAAGTAGCTAGAACTACAGTTGAATGCCACCACACCTGCTAAGTTTTTTAATTTTTTCTGTGGAAACGGCATCTCGCTCTTTCTAAGGCTTGTCTTGAACTCCTGGCCTCAAGCGATCCTCCTGTCTCAGCCTCCCAGAGTTCTAGGATTCTGTTGGAGCCACCGTGCCTAGCCATATGCAAACTTTTAAGTAAGAACTTCTCCAGAGAGAGATTCCACAGACCCATCAGCCTGGACACCTTGGAAAGCTGCAACGCCCATCAAAACAGGCCCGGACAAGGAGAAATGAATCATGGCTTGACTCTATTTTCCCTTTTCTTCATAAATACTGGGAAGCTCATCCTATAGCTTACATCAGAGCTACTTTAGCCCCTCTAGGTCAGCGTGTGTTCCTATTTCTTTCCTAAGACCTCTGCTCCCGGTTTCTCCCTTTTTCCTTCCCTCCACCCATTCTCTCCCTCCCTCCCTCATTCTTTCACTTTCTCAACAATTGGATTTTCACATTTTTTTTCCTGGAAAACTAGGAGGGGTTGTTGTGGTATTGACTCCTTGAATCATCACCACAGCTCCAAAAGGAGGGAACATTAATTACTTCATTTCCTAGATGGGGAAACTGAGGCTCAAAGAGAGGAGGCAGCTTGTCTGGTTCACCCTCCAGGCACCACACTCTGCTGGGGGCTGTCCTGGGCCCCCCAGTTCCTACATCCACCCCCACCCCAGACGGGGCTATCTTGGCCTGGCTCTGGCCCCCCTACCTTGAGTGTGTCCCCCTTGTTAAAGGCCAGCTCGTCGCTTTCTGTGGCCTGGAAGCTGTACAGGGCCACCGACTCCATCCTGCTGACCCCAGGTTCCAGCAGCTGGGCTCAGAGCGGGCCAGCAGCTTCCTGCTTCCTCTGCAGCCGAGGCGTCTTCCTTTGTTTTGAGTGCGAGTTTGTTCTTTTGAAGCTGAGACTGAGACTGCCCTGATGGGGGAGAAACAGGAAGCAGAGACATGTCACAGAACAGGGAGGGTGCGTGGGCCAGCTCGGTGCCTACTTCAGACCCCAGAGGAGGTACAGCCCTCAGGGAGTCTCCCTGCAGCCCTGGGAGTGGGACTGCTGTGCCCAAGTTATAGATGGTAAAAGTGCCTCAAAGCCATTCTGCTGACTCAGGTATTGTGTCTCGAGCCCAGGTGGTGCCACCCTCACCGATTTGCCAGTCTGTCCTCCACATTTACTAAACCCCAATGCCTCTTATGATTCCCCAACACCTGCTGTATTGGTCCGAAGCCCCTTGTGTCGTGTTCCAGGCCCTTCCAAGTGCCTCCACCCTCCCCCTCCGCCCCAGCTCCCTCACGCACTCTTTGTCATTTCCCTTCCCTGTAAATAAACTTGGGCTCCAGCCACAGCAGGTGCTTCATCCCCAACTGTTCTTCTGCCTGCTGCTCATTTCCTTCTTCTGCTTCCCAGAAATTGCTAGGGTCCATCAAAGCCCAGATCAGCACGTCCTCCTGGTTTAGACACTGGCCGCCCTCAGTGGGATGCACATCCTACGGTCAGACAGAATTGCAAACAGGTCTTGGCCCTTCCTGAGTGTGTTTGCTGTGGGCAGTGGCATCTGTGCGAGAATTCTAGAACTAGTTTAGGATAAACTAATTGAGTTTATTGTAGGATAAAGCATAAATGGATAAATACAGCCATGTAGCCTGGAACTAGGGTTCTTCCAGGAAAGAAAGACACAGATGTGGAAGGAAAGGAGAAAGAACCCTGTGCTGTTGGGTGAGAATTGGATGGATTGGTATTAAGTCAGATTTTTTTTCCTGCAAAGAAGTTTTTCTTCCTTCATTTCAACGTGGACTCCTGATTTTGTATTTTAGTCACTGGATTATAATCCATTACTATTGTATTTATTTTGATGCTCAGATTGTCCCTGATTTGGCCCCCAGGACCCCCTTCAAGCTGGCTCCTTGTCCTTTTGACCTCTGTCCTTTTTCCTTTGCCCCATTCCTCCTTGGCTCAAGGCTCATCCTGAACACCTCTGCACCACTTAATGTTTTTTTTGTTTGTTTGTTTGTTTTTTAGGCAGAGTCTCACTCTCACTCTGTTGCCCTGGGTAGAGTGTTGGGCATGTGGCATCACAGCTCACAGCAACCTCAAACTCTTGGGCTTGAGCAATCCTCTTTCCTCAGCCTCCCAAGTAGCTGAGACTACAGGTGCCCACCACAACAACTGGGTAGTTTCTTTACCTTTAGTACAGACAGGGTCTCACTCTTGCTCAGGCTGGCCTTGGACTCCTGAGCTCAGGTGATCCACCCATCTGGGTCTCTCAGAGTGCTAGGAATACAGTGTGAGCCACTGCACCCAGCCTCACTCAATGTTCTGTTTGGGAACAAAAAATTGCAGTTTGGGGCATCTATGCAGACTGTATGGTCTTTAGTATGTCTGAAGAACAAAGAGAAGGTTAGAGATTTTATTTAAAAGGAGAAATATTATGTATTGCTCTTTGAGAAATTTCATTGGCACTAGTAAAGGTTGGAGGGTTGGCATGCTTTGGCTGGTGAGTGATAGTGGGGACCAAAGTAGTCCTAGAGTTGCAACCAGTTATCTCACAAGCCATCAGCAAAACTGATCCCAGGTTACAAGGAGTCTCAGCAGCCCGGCCCACGGGGAAGTACATTCCTGGAGCTTCCCTTGTACCCTGAGAGCTTCCCCTGCCTTCTTCACTCTTGTTTACTAGCATATGACAAGAATGACTCAGTTTGGATGATCAGTTTTCATAGCTGGAATCAACCATCTCTGCAAGGAGATGGAAAGATGGATGGGCACAGTGGCTCACACCTATAATCCTACAACTCTGAGAGGCTGAGGTAGGTGGATTGCTTGAGTTCAGGAGTTGGAGACCAGCCTGAGAAAGAGCAAGACCCTATCTCTAAAAATAGCTGGGCTTTGTGGTGGGCACCTGTAGTCCCAGCAACTCAGGAGGCTGAGTCAAGAGGATCACTTGAGCCCAAGAGTTTGAGGTTGCTGTGAGCTGTGGTGATGCTATGGCATTTTTCCCAGGGCAACAACGTGAGACTTGTCGGGATTTTCGGTGGAGGATAGGATTGAGGAAGTAAGCTCAACCAGGGTGTTAGGGGTGCTTGTTACTACCAAGGGGCCCTTGCTCCTAGGCTCTGTCAGCAGACAGAGTTGGGGGGAAATATCGTGTGTGTTAGATACAAAATGAATTTATAGAAATATGCTTTTTAGTAGACAGAGCATCTGCACATGTCTGTATTTATTTCCATGTCTGTGGAGACAGGGAAAATAGATTAAAAACCATGAACATAATCAAATGTGAATTGTTGAAGGCAGGTGTAGGACCTGTGGCCTTGTTTTTATTCTTATGGCTTTTTGGAACCTTTGAATTTTTTTCTATATAGAAAGTTGAGGAGATGAATGAGAATCCACAGTTATCTCGATATAAAAAAGTTTACGGCTCGGCGCCTATGGCTCAACCGGCTGAGGCGCCAGCCACGTA